TAACCATCAACACGCACCGAGGATTATTTGTCTATAATAGACTTCCCTTCGGTGTCAGTTCAGCGCCCTCTATTTTTCAAAGAATTATGGAGAATCTCATGAGAGATCTTGATGTTATTGTTTACCTTGATGACTTATTGGTCACTGGAAAAACAGAGCAGGAACACCTGCAGAGACTACAGGCGGTGCTGAAAAGACTCCAGGAGAACGGTTTGAGGGTAAAAAAATCTAAATGTGAATTTGGAAAAAGCCAAATTGAGTATTTAGGATTTGTGCTAAACAGCCAGGGCCTTCATCCATCCCCAGACAAAGTGGATGCAGTTAAGAATGCACCAGTACCTACCTGCGTGAAGGAGCTGAAAGCTTTTTTGGGGTTGGTCAATTACTATGGCCGTTTTTTGCCCAACCAGAGTACTATGGCTGCCCCGCTCTACAGACTGCTGAGAGATAACGTGCCATGGGAATGGAAACAGTCTGAGCAAGAAGCTTTTGAAAAATGTAAAGATTTGCTGACAAACGAAAAGGTTTTGATTCACTATGATCCTAGTCTACCACTTACCTTAGCTTGTGATTCTTCTGCCTATGGGATCGGCGCTGTGTTGCAACACACCATGCCCACCGGAGAAGAACGTCCCATTGCTTACGCCTCGCGGACACTGTCACCTGCTGAAAAAAAGTATTCGCAGATTGAAAAGGAGGGGTTGTCGCTGATCTTTGGAATAAAAAAATTTCACCAGTACCTTTGGGGAAGAAAGTTCAAGATGGTAACTGACCATAAACCTTTGTTGACTTTGTTTGGAGAGCACAAAAGTCTACCCACCATGGCTGCAGCCAGAATTCAAAGGTGGGCAATCATTCTGTCCGCTTACGATTACCACATTGAGTACTGTCCCTCAGAGAAAAACAGTAATGCAGATGGCCTTTCACGTGTTCCCTTACCGGAGATGACTGATGGGGGCACAGCTGCCCTATCAGAGCATATTCATGCACTAATAGCGGAGCACTTCGAACAAGCTCCTTTGAAGGCAGAACATGTGTCTCGTGTAACACGCAGAGACAAGGTGTTATCCAAGGTGCTTAAATATGTCATGGAAGGTTGGCCAATGAATGTGGATGAAAATCTAAAGGCCTATCACTTGCGGAGGTTAGAACTGTCGGCAGAGAGAGGATGTGTACTTTGGGGCACCAGAGTTATAATTCCTGAAAAACTGAGAAAAATTGTGCTGAAAGAGTTGCATGTCGGCCATCAAGGGATGGTAAAGATGAAGGCACTTGCCCGCAAGTATGTGTGGTGGCCTAAAATGGATGCAGAACTGGAACAAGTTTGTAGAACCTGTGAGCCATGTCAGATGGAACAAAAAGCACCCCGCCAGGTTCCTTTACACCCCTGGGAATTTCCTGGTCAGAGCTGGAAGAGATTACACATAGACTTTGCTGGTCCTTTCTTAGGACACACATTTATGATTATTGTGGATGCATATTCAAAGTGGCTGGAGGTATTTAGAATGCCTAACCTTACTTCACAATCCACCATTTCAAGGCTGAGAAGGCTGTTTGCAGCATACGGACTTCCAGAACACATAGTCACAGACAATGGAACACAATTCACTTCGGAAGAGTTTAAAAATTTTATGCAGCAAAATGGCATTCTTCATTCCACAAGTGCCCCAGGTCATCCCGCTACCAATGGCCTTGCAGAAAGGTATGTCAGACATTTAAAGGGGGAATAAAGAAACTTGCACACGTGACAATGGACTTGGAGGATAAGATCTCACTGTTTTTAATGCAGTATCGCACTACTCCGAACTGCACTACAGGGCAATCACCAGCCGATCTTTTCCTTAACAGACATGTGCGCACTCGGCTGGACTTTGTTCACCCAGATGTCACTGTTGCTGTTCGCAGGAAACAGTACCTACAAAAGTTCCATCATGACAAAAGGTCTGTGGAGAGATCATTCTCTGAGAAGGATGCGGTTTACCTTCGTAATACCACAGGAAAAGGGAACAAATGGGTTCCTGGAGTGATAGTAAAGCAAACCGGTCCTGTGTCTTATAACGTTCAGGGACAAGACACAGATGGCACTTTCAGGAGACATTGTGATCAGTTAAGACCACGGGTTGTAGTGGATGATCCTGTTGAACAGATGGACTGCTCTGAGACTGGGACTGAAACTTCCGTTAGACCCTGTGCATCAGAAGAGGAGGAACCGGTCATTTCAGAGACTTCTGAAAAGGACAGTGTAGGAAATACAAGCATGGCACAGGGTCTACGTCGCTCATCTAGAATTAGAAAGACACCAAAACGCTATGACCCATAATGCTGAGGAATTACAACTGTGCAAATGCAACCAAGTTTAAAATTTGCAATGGTCTCGTAATATACTAGGTTTAGTATTTTTTTTTTTGTTTTTCTCTCTGCTGTTGTGTTAATGCAAGAAGAATTTAACAGCTACTGTTAGTTTTGATAGTAATGTTGTTGCATGTGCAGTTTTTTTTTTTTATGTGAAGGTAACAGTAAATGTACTGTGTTTAAAAAGGGGGGTAATGTGATATATTGATGTTTGCATTTTTGTATTTGAAACAATAGGGACTCCGTAGTACGGAAGTAGTTGATATAGTTCTGGAAGTTTCGGATGAAAGCTAAAAGTAAAGCTGTTGCTTAATACGGACGCTCCGACTCAAGTGTATCTTTTACAGTCAGATATATCACATTAATTAATATATTAATTAAGTCTAAACTAAATGGAACTAACATGAACTCATGAGCTGTTAATTTAAATTTTTGTAATGACTTTACTTGAAGGGGCACATTATCATCACCTCATCATTAACTACTCAATAACTCATGTTTAAGGCCCAATCCCAAATATTCCCCTTAGCCCTTCCCCTTCTTTTTGCACATTCCTGTGAAGGGGTAGGGGAGTCCTAATTCTCTTTAGCTTGAAGGCGTAGGGCTAAGGGGAAGAGGTAGATCTCCCTCAAAAGAGAGATTTTACAGGACCACACTCGAAGTCAAGGGGTAAGAATGCACCAGCCAGAACGACAGGATAGCTGTCCCATTTCTTAAGGAGTAAATTTTGAAGCCCTTCTCCTTGGCCCTTAAAACTGAGTGTGAAAGGGAAGGGCTTAAAAATTCTGAAACTGGAAGAGGTACAAAAACAGAATTGGGATTTGGCCTAAATGTAACGCTCGTGCACATCCAGTTCTTGTTCAAATAAAAAAAAATATAAGTGTTCTGACTACATCAAACCAAACAGTTTAAACACAGATGTTGATGAATGGTTAATAATGAGGTATTAATAATGTGCCCCTCTCAAGTAAAGTCAAGACATAAACATACATTAACAGCGCATGAGTTCAGGTGAGTTACATTTAGCTTAAACGTGATATATTAATAACAAACAAGAACTAACAATTAATTAGAAGTGTTATTCACTTATGAAGTCATGCTGTAGTTAAAGATAGTTCTTGATGAGCACCTGTCTTAACTCATCATTAGTTCAAAATGAAGTAACGTGTAATTTGCATATAATCATATCATTATACGTGTACTGTTATTGTAAAGTGTAACCAAATGTTCAATAATTCTCCATTGACTTACTGTGTATCATGAGCAGAAGCACCAGAGTAAGAGGAGCAGCCATTCTCTCTGACATCACTACAAGATCACAATAACACACACGTATTAGAAAAAAAAACACCTTAATATTGTCTTTAAATTTATCCGTTTATCACGGTTTGTGAATTGTTCTATTTGGTCTTCTCAACTGTATTTTTCAGAGTTTTTCTCACATATAAATCAGTAACACTTACCGTGTCCTGATGACCCTTCTCTTCAAGAGGCGTCAAACTGACACATCTCTCTCTCTCTCTATGCTTTTATTAAATGCTTGCTCAAACAGAAATAATTCTTCCTCTTTTTTTGATTCCTGCCCACATAACTGGAAATATTAAGTATCTTAATAAACTTTGAGAGTCAGAATATACACTCTCTGACTACTTTATTAGGTACACCTTACTAGTACCGTCTGTAGAGGCCATTTGAGTGCAGTGAACTCATTGACATGTTCAAGAAACCAGTCTAAGATGATTTAGAAAATGGGTACACTGTGGTCATAAAGGGATAGACATAAAATAAGCAACAATACTCAGGTAGGCTGTGGTGTTGACACGATACTGAAGTGGTACCAATAGACCTAAAGTGTGCCAAAAAAAAAAAAAAAAGAAAATCTCCCCCACACCATTACACCACCCCCACCAGACTAAACCGCTGATACAATGCAGGATGATCCATGCTTTCATGTTGTTGAGGCCAAATTCTGAGCTGAGCATCCGAATGTGTCAGCAGAAATGGAGACTCATCTGAGCAGGCAACGTTTCTCCAATCTTCTATTGTCCAGTTTTGGTGAGCCTGTGTAAATTGTAGCCTCAGTTTCCTGTTCTTAGCTGACAGGAGCGGCACCCGGTGTGCTCTTCTGCTGCTGTAGCCCATCCGCTTCAAGGTTGGACGTGTTGTGTGTTCAGAGATGCTCTTCTGCAGAGTTCGGTTGTAACGAGTGCTTATTTGAATTTCTATCAGCTGGAACCAGTCTGGCCATTCTCCTCTGACCTCGGGCATCAACAAGGCATTTGCGCCCACATATGTACCGCTCACTTGATAGTTCCTCTTTTTCGGACCAATCTTTATAAACCCTAGAAATGGTTGACCGTTAAAATCCCAGTAGATCAGCAGTTTCTAAAATACTCAGACCAGCCTGACTTGAATCATGTGTGCATTTCATTAACCACATTTTCAGCCATGATGTCTGTGGACTTTGAGTTGTGCAACAGTCAGACACCATTTGCTGAGAAAAGTTTCTTGCTTAGAAAATTAAATGTTATTCAAATGTGCAGGAATAAACATGTTTAGCTCGTCGTCATGTTAAACGCAGGCAAGAGATGACAGAAGATAGGGATAGGTTTAAAAAAAAAAAACATTTAATTTGCATATATTAAGTGATCAACATGCACACATCCAAAATTCTTGTAGACAAATGTTTATACAAGTTTTAAATGTGTCAGTTGTGTAATTTATTGCAAACTTTGCAAAAAGAACAGTGTTGACATTGACTTGACAATGAAAAGATCATTTAATATTTAGACTACACAGTCATTACAGACTGAGGTCACATGTTCAGTTAACCTATTACTTTCTACAGTACAAGAAACACCAACACACTCCCACAATAAAACTCTAAAGATGCATTTTCCTTTTCATTGGTAGCTGTGAAGTGCGTGTATTCTTCAACATGGTAGCTGCTTAGTATTAATTTCTTAACTGTTGATGTTTCTTAACTGTGAATAACTTGAGGAAAGTGGACTTTTTTTCTTGATTATGTTGAATAGACTTGGTGATTAACCACTTCTTGACAGATTCTCATATTCTGAACGGCCCGACTGGTGAAGAGCAGGTCTGGGATGGACAGCCTTATGAAAAACACAAAACAATTATCATTTATTACCAGATCTCTGATTGCACTAACACTTTGGCACACATCTGAGACATCACTTACACTGAGCATGTTGTACTGGTCTGGAGATCTGGAGTTGGGGTCAAGAGCGGCGTATCTGTTTATACCAGGACAATTGTTCTACAGGGAAACAAAGAAAATACAGGAACTTGATTCTGTATTACAGGTATTACAGATCAGTACTGTCGTAAAATCCTGTTTTAACCACCTCAGACAACTGACTAAAGTCAAGCCATTTTTATCCCAGAAAAATTTCAAACGATGATTCATGCCTTCAAAACAACACGTCTAGATTACTGTAACGCTCTTTATTTTGGTATTTCTCAGTCTTATCTCTCTCTCTCGTCTGCAGCTGGTTCAAAATGCAGCAGCTAGACTACTCTCTGGCACCCGCAAGTATGAGTCAGTAACTCCTATTTTAGCTTCACTTCACTGGTTACCCATTAAATACAGAATTGATTTTAAAATTGTATTATTTGTCTTCAAAGCCGTCAATAATCTTGCTTCCTCAATAGCTTACTGACTTGCTTTGTCCATATACCCCCTCTCGATCATTAAGGCCCCGTTTACACTAGTGCAATTTAGTTTTAAAACTGCGTTTTAGAATGAAAACGATCCGCGTCCACACCCGCGTTTTACCCAGCGTTTCTGAACTGCTCTCCGTCCACACCAAAACGCTGAAAACGCACATCACGTGACCACACACACACTCTCGGGCAAGCGCTGCAGCCCATCTACCCAGATGAGAGCTGTGCTAGTCGGACTTCTCATCAAGCATCTCCCGCTGGATCTTATCTCACAATATTTATTAAACGGGATATTTCATTCATCTTGTTGTCTTTATCTAACGACATATTCCCTGACTTTGGTCATTGGAATCTATTACTTGTTCTCAGGTAACGCGTTTTGGCTGAGCGCAAAGATAAGTTAATGATTAATGTAAGCACGCAGCCTATTCTGTATATTGACTGATCGCTGGCCTTTATTTCCTATAATGTACAAACTTATTGTATGTTATACTTTTATAATGGCCATTATCGATTATTAAAACTGATATTTAGCAAAAGAGAGGGTGTGTTTCGTATTTTCACTGAAATTGAAAGAAGGCAGTGTTGTTATCGGCTCCGTTTTGTTATAAATATCCACACAGTGAAGATGACGCTCATGCAGCACGACGCCTCAACATTTCTGCTGTCTAAGTTGCTAATATTAAAATGAAAATAGGCAGTTCCTTATATCAAGTTTACATCTTATTGTTGAGAAAGTGAAACAACGTAGCCAGGGTGATGTGAATGAAGTTATAAAGTACACTGTTCCCTTTGAAGATTTACCCGTGTCCTCGGTATAGTCTGCTTTTCCATATCAAACTGAGAAGAAGAGACTGCAGCCTTGATCAAACTTGCGTAGTCTAAACTTACACGGAGAGAATGCAGGACGGAACTGTGTGTGTTAGGCTACTTAATATTCAGGAAAAGCCCCAATCAGAGAGGCGAATGTCTGCAGCCCCGCCTCCGTTTTCAGATGTCTCCGTTTTCCATCATCCACACTGAGACGGAGCAGCAGCATTTCAGAATGAAAACGGCCTCTCCAGCGTTTTCGAAACGCTCCGTTTTCGGCGCTCGAGAACTCCGGCGTAGTGTGGACGGATGGCGTAACCGTAGCAAAACTTATGCGTTTTCAAACTAAAACGCATTAGTGTAAACGGGGCCTAAGATCTTACGATCTCAACTTACTCACCGTGCCCAGAACACGCCTTAAAAAACGAGGCGATCGAGCGTTTGCTGTTGCTGGTCCTAAACTCTGGAACAGTCTACCGGTTCACATTAGACTTTCTTCTCCATTTCTGTGTTTAAGTCTGTTTTAAAGACCGATCTATTTTCTCTCGCTTTTAATACTCCTTGATCGCTGTTTTATTGCTCTTATCTGTTAAATGTTTCTTTTATATTCTGCTTCTCTGTTTTTAGCACTCCTATGTACAGCACTTTGGTCAACCTTGGTTGTTTTTAAATGCGCTCTGTAAATAAATATTGTATTGTAGTTAAGGGTATGACAAAAAGAAGGTAAATTTGATTCAATAATGGGCAGAAAACACAAACAGGCTTATACAAGTGAAGGTAACTTGATCTGACGCATGCACACTCATGGACTGCATGAATGACATGGCAGCCGGCAGCTAGCTCTCTGTAACTATCACATGGTCACTCACTAAAGCCAAGCAGGGCTGTGCCCGGTCAGGACCTGGATGGGAGACCACATAGAAAATCGAATCGATTGAGTTCAAAAAGCTGAGTCACTGGGCAGACAGAAGCCCTGCCCATCACGCGAATGCCCATCTGTTCTGAAGTGAATTTGAGGCATGAATGAAGCGGATTTGACGTGCGAATGAAGCAAGTAAATTCAAATGTTCATGTGGCTATTTAAACGGCTATATAACACAGCCTAAAACATTAGGAATAATTTCAATCCATGGTTCTTTAATTATTTTACCTCATACTGGTGTACGGCAGATCTTTGACGTATCCTTTTCCTTTGACTGTTTCAAATAGCAAACACAAACTATTAATTTTAATGTTTTGTCTATAATTAACACATATTCTACATTAGTTTGTAAGTAATTGACATGTATATAATTTGTTCAACTTACACTATAAGTACAATGATGATGATGATGATGATGATGATGATGAATAATCCTCCGGATGCTGCTGCGATCACAAACACCAAATACATCCCTTGCTGAACTGAAAGATGAAGCAGATCATGATTAACTCTCCAGACTGATGAAGTTACAGGAGTGTGATGATAAAAGCTTCACCAGTGACAGTGACGGCGTCTGATCTCTGAGCTCCATGTGGATTGTGAGCCTCACAGTAGAAGCGTCCACTCTGTACTGCACTGAAACTCTGTCCAGATCCAACAGCTGAGCTTTGATTCTCCTCAAACCAGCTGAAGCTCAGAGCAGGAGGGTTTGAGTCACTGATGCACATCAGACTCACTGAATCTCCAGACATTATTACAGCAGATCCACTAATGGACACTGAGACGCTCCTGGGTGGATCTAAAAAAAGATAAGAGATATCAACATAAAATTTATATCAAACAACATCTGCCATCATTAACTTACACTGGACATCTAAAGTCACCGGATCAGAGTATTTCTCTCCATGCTCATTGATGGCTCTACACTTGTATTCTCCACTGTCATCAGATTTGATCATTAGGATGCTGAAGATTCTTCCAGATTTAATATATTCTACTCCTTTATACCATAATAATGCTGCAGGAGGGTTTGAGTCGCTGCTGCAGCTCAGAGTCACTGAATCTCCCTCTGTTATTACATCAGATTCACTAATGGAGACCAAGACACTCCAAGGTTTGTCTAAAATAGAAAAAAAAAACACGTGTTATTAACAATTGGGTCCTACTTTACATTAGGTGCCCTTAATTAATATGGAATGCTTTAGTTAGTTTAATCTAAACTAGACTAAACAACTAATAAAATGATCGGCTTCAATTAGATTAATTCAAATTTAAATGACCACAAATTGTAGTCAGATAACATTGCAGGCACACTGCACTTTTCGCCCCTTACCCATTCATATGCAAACACAAGCTTGTGTGACAAGCAGTTCTTCAAGCTTGGTGAACTCTGACCTGCAGAATCATATCACTTGATTGCGTGAGACTAATAGAAGATCAAAACATGACATCTCTATGCAGAAATGTAAAATATGGACCAATTGCTTGCATTTATCAATGTCTAATGGTCTTGTTTAATCCCGCCTCTTTTAGCAGTGCCGTACAACAGTATTTTGCATTCTCAAACTCTAGTCCAGGGGTCGGCAACCCAAAATGTTGAAAGAGCCATATTGGACCAAAAAAAACAAAAAACAAATATGTTTGGAGCCGCAAAAAATGTAAAGCCTTATAATGAAGGAAACACATGCTGTATGTGTATATATAGTAGTTATATTAGCCTACTATAAAAATGACTAAGTTGGCTACAAATACATAATGAGCCTTCATGATTAAATAGCCACTGAAATCAAGTGGTTGGTCACCATTTGTGAATGGCTTTCCATGCTTTATTATCTCCAGGTTTGTTTACAACAGCCACCTGCCTGGTATCCCGCCCTGCTGATGGAAACCTGTGTCGCAGGCTATGACGCAAATCTTCGTTGACAGAAATGTTGAAATTAAATATTAACACTACACACTTTTACAGCATTTGAAAACGTTAAAAATGTTTGTCCTTCTATAGCAGGGGTCAGCAACCCGCGGCTCTAGAGCCGCATGCGGCTCTTTAGCGCTGCCCTTGTGGCTCCCTGAAGCTTTTTCAAAAATGTTCAAAAAGATGGGGAAGGTTAGTATATATTTTTGTTTTAATATGATTTCTATAGGAGGACAAACATTTTTAACGTTTTCAAATGCTGTAAAAGTGTGTAGAGTTAATATTTAATTTCAAGATTTCTGTCAATGAAGATTTGCGTCATAGCCTGCGACACAGGTTTCTATCAGCAGGGCGGGATGCCAGGCAGGTGGCTGTTGTAAACAAACCTGGAGATAATAAAGCATGGAAAGCCATTCACAAATGGTGACCAACCACTTGATTTCAGTGGCTATTTAATCATGAAGGCTCATTATGTATTTGTAGCCAACTTAGTCATTTTTATAGTAGGCTAATATAGCTACTATATATACACATACAGCATGTGTTTCCTTCATTATAAGGCTTATATAAGGCTTTATATTTTTTGCGGCTTCAAACATATTTGTTTTTTATTTTTTTTGGTCCAATTTGGCTCTTTCAACATTTTGGGTTGCCGACCCCTGTCCTATAGAAATCATATTAAAACAAAAATATATACTAACCTTCCCCATCTTTTTGAACATTTTTGAAAAAGCTTCAGGGAGCCACAAGGGCAGCGCTAAAGAGCCACATGCGGCTCTAGAGCCGCGGGTTGCTGACCCCTGCTCTAGTCGGACCACGGCTTAAGAATAAGGGTCAAAATTAGATTCATGAAATAAAATTCACACATGATTAGGAATCTTTTTAAAGCTGCCTGAAAAAAAAAAAAAAAACATATTATGCACCAAATCCTCTAAACCAGGGGTGTCCAAACTCAAACTGTAGATTTTAGCTCCAACTTGCTTGATTAGCTAGTCCAGGCAAGTCTGTTTGGGGTTGGAACTAAACTTTGCCGGACACAGGCCCTCCAGGACCGAGTTTGGACACCCCTGCTCTACCCCAATGGAGATAATTGTTTGGGCCATTGAGTGGATCTCACAGGGCTCGCTACAAACTCCATTTTGGACATGGTTGGAGCAAAACTAAAAGAGAACACTCCTGTTTTAACTTTTGTCAGTGTCCCATACTGATGAGTGCCCCTGAAACTGTTCTAATATTCCCTGTCATGGCATCCCTGTTAATGGGGCACCTGATTACTTGAACTCACTTCGATTAACTTAATAACTCTCATTCGTGTTTATGGGTACAGATCTGAACTTCTTGTTGTTAACTTCTAGCGTCCAGAATTCATTTCCTATGGTCCTTACTCTATTGTCATGCAGGGAAAAAATTGTTACACAACATACATAAACACTGCTGTACTCAAATTTATTGGGGGGTACTGACTGTAGATGTGACTGGATTGAGAACAAATCTTAAATGGCATCATTCATTCATTTTAAATTGCTTTTTCGGGGCTGGGTCACAGGGTAGCAGTCTTTAGAGAGAACCCGAGACTTGCCTCTCCCGAGACACTTCCTCCAGCTCCTCTAGGGGGATCCTGAGGCATTCACAGGCCAGCCAAGAGATATAGTCCCTTCAGTGTGTCCTGGGTCTAACCCGAGGCCTCCTCCCGGTGAAACATGCCTGGAACACCTCCCTAGGTAGGCATCTTAAACAGATGCCCGAGCCACCTTAGCTGACTTTTCTAGATGTGGAGGAGCAACGGCTGTACTCTGAGTTCCTCCCGCCTGACAGAGCTCCTTACCCTATCTATAAGGGTGCACCCTGCCACCCTGCAAAACTCAATTCGACCGCTCGTATCCAAGATCTTGTCCTTTTTGTCATGACCCAAAGCTCATGACCATAGGTGAGAGTAGGAACATAGATTGACCGGTCAATCAAGAGCGATGCCTTTTGGCTCAGCAACTTCTTTACTACAATGGACCGAACTGCATTACTGCTGCCGCTGCACCAGTCTGCCTGTCGATCTCATGTTTCATCCGTCCCTCACTCGTGAACAAAACCCCAAGATACTTGATCTCCACCTGGGGTACGGACTTTCCTTCAACCTGGAGATGGCAAACCACCTTTTCCAGATGGAGCACCATGGCCTCGGACTTGGAGGTGCTGATTCTCATCCCAGCCACATCACATTTGGCATCAAACCACACTGGTACATGCTGAAGGTCCATGTTTGATGAAGCCAACAGAACAACATTGTCTGCGAATAACAGAGATGAAATCCTGTGGTCCCCAAACCGGACCCCCTCAAGCTCAAGGCTGCTCTTTGAAATTCTTTTCATACAAATTATGAACAGAATTGGTGACAAAGGGCAGCTCTGCTGGAGTCCAACATGCACCGGGAACAAGTCTGACTTACTGTCAGCAATGCGAACCAAACTCCTACTCTGTTTCCTACAGGGACAAGACGGCCCTTAACAAAACGCCTCTGTACCCATACTCCCAGAGCACCCTCCACAGAATGCCACAAGGGATACGGTTGAATGCCCTCTCCAAGCCCACAAAACAAATGTGGACTGGTTGGGTATACTCCCATGAACCCTCGAGCACCCTGATGAGGATATAGAGCTGGTCCAGCGTACCACAGCCTGAACGAAAACCTCATTGTTCCTCCTGGATCCTAGGTTCAAACGGCAACATACTTCACAGATTGTGGCTTTAAGTAGTTTTGTTAGTGTGCATAGCTACTTTTTCCAAGTCATTTGGTGCCATGACCCAGATGGTGCTGAGGTTTTAGGGAGTGAGTACAAACAAAGACGGGCAGTTACACATTACTCAATTACCTGACTGTAAAGTGCGTGTTTTTCTTTTGGACAACCATAAGAGCAAAGCCCATTAGTTACAAGTAGTGTCCAATAAAGTTTGCCTTTAAAGAAAAAAAAGCACATGCCAAAAATTAAATGCATACTCACATCTGACATTGAGATAAACAGTAGGAGAGATGTAATCCTGTCCCTGCACACCACAGCTGTATCCGCCCGCATGTCCTCTACTGACTGAACTGTAGACAAGTTTATTTTGAATACTCCCTTGTGTTAATGGCTTTGAGTTTCTGTACCAGATGAATATTGGTGTGTCAATCAGTTTACAGCTGCTTCTACATGTCAGACGGACTGAATCTCCCTCTGTCACTCTCTCAGGAGACTCCACTTGAAGATCTGAACACAACACACACACTGGGTCTCATTTATCAAGCAAACGTGCAACAGAAAAGTGCACATACGATCATTTGAATGCAAAACTTGGAATTTATCAATATGAATGTTGTGTTTTAAAATGTGAACAATTAAGTGTGATAGTCAAATGACGATTATCTGCATTCAAATGTTTCATAAATCACACATGAACCTTGTCATAATGTAATTTGCACTAGGATCTGCACTCATTTCTATAATGCACAGAAAAGGAGAGAAACCTCAGGAAAGTCACCTGTGACAGAGAGACGCACTCCTTGAGTTGCACTAAATATATTGTCCCATGAAGAAACAAATGTGCAATAGTAGTTGTCTGAATCCTCCTGTGTCACCTCACTGATATGGAGGCAGTAGCTGTTTTCTTGATTTCCCGAAGAGCAATCCCATTGGCTTATTTCAGGGCCTGAAAGTTTTGCATTCTTTGACGTGGTCCAGAACACTTCCTCGATCTGATATCCAGTAGGGTAAAAGCAAGTCGTACTCACTGTTGAACCCCTTAGTGCACAAATGTATGGTGATGGTGTGTAATTCACATACCAACACTGTCCACAAACCCCTGAAACAAGTTAAAGGCATTGGTCAGCCAAAGCAATCTGCTAACTGGTGAGATATTTGGACTAAGTTTTAGTCCTCATTTAAGTTCTACTTGATAGGGTAGTTTAGATTTTTGAAATAAAACATCAAATAGTGTTCAACGGGGGTGTAAATGATCACTCGACCCTCATTAAACGAGATTCACTATTAAAGAACAAGTGATTATGTAATGTTTATGAATTCTCCATTGACTCACTGTGTATCATGAGCAGAATCACCAGAGTAAGAAGAGCAGCCATTCTCACCGGCATCACTACAAGATCACAATAACACACACATTAGCAGAAGAACAGTCATCAGTTCATCAAGGATTGTGAATATTTCTCTTCGGTATCCTTAATAGTATAAATCAGGCTATATTCACATATTAATCAGAGTAATCCTTACCGTTTTCTGGTGACTCTGATCTCCAGCGAGCATAAAACTGACGCATTTCTATAAGAATAGCAAACAGAAAATCTTTCTTCCTCTTTCTTATCCCCAGCCCACACAATAAGAACGGCCAGTACAACATGTTAATGTACAGTTGAACCAAGAAGTTTACATACACTCTAAAAAATGAGAGACGAGTAGCGAGCCACCCCTAACCAGCCACAATAATGAGAGAATGTTTTGTTTTGAGAATTTTTATTTCATTTCTAGAAGATCAAAAGTTTACACACATTTCCTTGGTATTTTTTTTTAGCTTTCCTTTAAAACTGTATAACGTTGGTCAGATGTTTTGGGTCTCCTTCCACAAGCTTCTCACAATACTTTGAAGAAATTTAGGCCCATTCCTCCTGACATAATTAGCTCGCTCGCACAAGCTTTTTCAACTCTGCCCACAGATTTTTTATAGGATTGAGCTCAGGGTTTTGTGATGTCCACTCCAAAACATTCACTCTGCTGTCCTTAAAGCACATTTGAACTCATTTGGCAGTGTGCTTAGGCTCATGGTCTGTTTGGAAGAGCCATTTGTGGCCAAGTTGTAATGTCCTGGCTGATGTCTTGAGATGTTGCTTCAGTATTTCTCCATAATGTTCTGTCTTCATGATGCCATCTATGCTGTGAAGTGGACCAGTCCCTCCTGCAGCAAAACAACCCCACAACATGATGCTGCCGCCCCAATACTTCACAGTTGGGATGGTGTTCCTAGACTTGTGCGCTTTCCCCTTTGTCCTCCTAATGTAACACTGGTCATTATGGCCAAACAGTTCAATCTTAGCTCCATCAGAGCACAGGACATGTCTCCAAACATTAGTCTTTTCCCCAGAGTAATTTAGCTAATGGTAATCTGGCTTTGTTGTTGATTCTGGCTTGTTGATTTTGCTATGTTGTCACACAAGGAAGCAGTGTGTTTGAGCTTTTCCTTCAATACTATTCTACAGTTGTGCCTCACATTAACTCAAATGTTGTCAATTAGCCAATCAGAAACTTCCAAAACCTTGACATCATTATCTGAGCTTTTTATGAGGCAGAATAATCTTATTGTGTGTAAACTTGACAGAAGATGTCAGAAGATATGTAAAGCAGAACAGAAACACACATGATCATCCTAACTAACCTAAAAGAGAAAAGTTGTCACATTAACATCTGACTTTTAAAAATGGTTATGTGTCTTTTTATTCAGTGTATGTAAACTTCTGCTTTAAACTGTATGAGGGAGGCCTGAAACTCATCTCTGAATATCCACAGGCATGCATTTTTTTCCGGAATTGGGTCCCATTTAACTGGCAGTGTAAACGAGGCTCTAATGACACCTTATATTTTACATTTGTCAACTATTTTTAATAAACGTAGTGACATGAGAAACAAAGCATCCTTGCTACTGTACACACCAAGCATACACTGGTGCCGTGACCCTGATGAGAGTGCACTTTAAGGAGACACAATTAACTAAACCTCACTCCTTTGATATCAAGGTTCACTAGCAACATATTCTAGAGAATGTGGCCTTTAGTATCCATGTTAGTATGCACACCTACCATGCCAGTTACGTTGGTGCCTTGACTAGGATGGAAATGAGGTTTAAGGGTAAGAAAAACAGAAACTCTGCAGCAAAACCGCACTTATTTCAAGAGGTCCACTAGCACCATACTCTTTATGGATTATGGTCATTAGTATCCTTGTTAGTGTGCACTCCTATCTTGCCTGTTTATTAATTATATTGGTGCCATGATCCGGATGGGAGTGAGGTTTAAGGACATAATAAGAATAACTAAAGCTGTGGAGCTAAACTTCACTCCCCTAATGTTAAGAGGTCCACTAGCAGCATACTGTAGAGAATGTGGTCTTTAGTGAAATTGTAAGTGTGCACTCCTACCATGCCAGTTATATTGGTGCCGTGATGCTATTGGAAGTGAGTTTTAAGGGTTTGAGAATAACTGAAACTGTGCAGTTAAACTTCACTACCCTGATCTCAAAAGATGCACTTGCAATGTACTCTAGAGATAGGGATTTTTGCCTTGTTGTTAGTGTGCAAACCTACCATGCCTATTTATCAGTTACAATGGTACCTTGATCCATATGTGAAAGTGGTTTAAGGGAATGATAATAGCTGAATCTGTACAGGTAAACCTCACTCCTCTCATCTCAAGAGGTCCACTAGCAACATACTCTGAAGAATGTGGTCTTTAGTATCCTTGTTAGTTTGCACACTTACATGTCAGTAACATTGGTTTCATGACCAGTGCGGGAGTGTGGTTTAAGGGGGTGAGAATAACAGAATCTGTGTAACGAACCCTCACTATCCTAATCTCAAGAGGTCAACAAGCAACATACTATAGAGTCTGTGGTCTTTAGTGTCCTTGTGCCAACGTACCATGCTGCAATCGCCTGTTTCAGTCCCACTCAGTTCTGGAGGGATTATATTGGTGCCGTGACCCGGATAGGAGCAAAGTTTAAAAGAGTAAGTGTATTTGAGGCTAGAAAGCTAACCAACATTCCTAGTCTCAAAAATTGCACTAATGACTATTACCACAGGCTGGGCTCCAAAAGCCTCTCAGATTAGGTCACACAGACCAGGAGGGCTTACATGAGCACACTTCAGGCTTTTTCAACAGTGTGACCACAAACAAACCACAAGCTTTGCAATTCAGAGACACAGTCACTAAAGCTAAAAGATTTGGCACTCGTCAGTAATACATAAAGTGTTTGCTTTTCTTTAGTCTGCCAAGACAAACTATCATGACACAACAGGATATATTTGCTTTTGGACAGAATTACGTGCTGTTATTCAGAATTACGTGAAGTTATATTCAAGTATAAAAAACTTTTCTCTTTCTTCCTGGAAACTTTTTTTCTGTAGAATTATGAAGCATATTGAGCAATACTGGATTTTGTCACGCTGACCGCAGAAAAGTTATTTTTTGCCTTTAGTTTCCATGGTAATGGCCTATAGATAAGGGAGGAAGAGGAAATAGCCTCACAGAGAGCCTCAACCCTGCAGTAAAGCTCAGCATCTCTACATACGTCAACAGTTGAGATATTGGAAATGATTTCTGACTAATGTTGTTTAATATGGAGACTCTACATGGATAAAATATGACACGGGTGGAAAAATTGTATCACAGTGCTAGGGCATTTGTTCGAAAAAAAGTCTCTCTTGGAATGCAATGAACTGGACACTTGAGTCCAGTTTATACATTTTCTATTATACCCCTCATCATTTGAAATCATTTCAAAGTGTTTTTATGTCTTGTTCAGATAATGACATCTATTAGATACCATTGAAAACTGCAATACAATTTTTCATACCTCATCATCAGAATTTCACTGTTGTTTTAGTCAAAACGATTAAACCAGTGCTTTTGGCATTTTCTTAATATAGTTGCACTAATCACTTTGATGGACCAATGATCAAAATCTTCCTGTTATATTTCAAATTAAGTATATTTGCATATACAAAGCTGTACAGACTTAATATTAAACTAAAGTCACGAGTACTGCATAGCCACAGTTATTTTTGTTTCTGATGATGTTTAGCTCATTCCACAGGGCTATGACTGCATGTGTTATTTTGAGTTGAGCGCTAAAGTAACCACAGGCTACAACAAGAGTAAATAAAGAGTTGAAATTAAGAACAACTTAAAATTGGTTTATTTAGTCTCAGAAATATGTGAAACAGACATTTAAAAAATGCATTTTTAACAAATGTTTTACAAACACAAATATACAAAGACTCAAACACTGACCCAATGACAATGCGAAAGCTCCTTTTCTATTATATTCTCTGGCAATCTGTTTAACTGATTTGCTAAATAATATGGCAGGAATTGTTAAATTGACACCTAAATTAGGAAAAAACACTTTAAATCAAAACGTTTAATTAATATTTGTTTATATTCACACAGTCTGACAGTCATCTGACGCAGCTGTAGATCACTGAACCCTCTTCCACAGTCTCCACATTTGACTGCCTAAAAAAAAAAAAGACAATTAAAACAAACACATTAGTTCTCTATCATAACAGCACACATCATGTGAACATTATGATGTTCTGCTTTAAACTGCATGATAATGAAATCATACTTTAAAATTAATTAGATCTAAAGTTTGTCACACACTCCTAATAGAGCCTTATTTAGAAAATTGCTATTTTTAATCTAATTTCATCATAACAGGACGGATTCCCTATATGAGCAACTCTTTTAAATGAACATATACACCTCCACTTTTGTCTTCAGTTTTGCAAAATCCCAAATGTCAATAATACAGAGGACGATATAATTTCAAGAATAAGTTAAAGGAGTTAAAGCATAATACGTCCAACTCTTTGATACCCGTCACCGAAATTACACCCCTAACTCTTCAATACCGGTCACTGACATTACACCTGCAACTCTTCAATAGCAGTCACCATCAATACACTCAAACTCTTCAATACTGCTCACTGACATTACACCCCTAAACTCTTCAATACCAATCATGGACATTTCCCTCGCAATTCTTCAATACCGGTCAACTCACCATCATTGCTCCCCCATCTCCTCAATAACAGTCCCCAACATTACCCCCAACTCTTCAATACCGGTCACCCCCCAACCTCTTGAATTCCGACACCAACATTACACCCCCAAACTTTTCAGTCCTGATTATCAACATTACACTCTCAAACTGTTCAATACCAGTCACAAACATTACCACCCTCAACTCTTCAATACCAATCACCAACATAACCCCAACTCTTCAATATTAGTCACTGACATTACCCCCCCAACTCTTCAATAGACATTAACACCCCCGAAATTAAAGTGAGTAAGTGTAGCTGAAGTAGCAGAGGCACAAACTGCAAAGCCTCCACTTCTGGAAAGGAGGCAGGGAGCAGCACCTCATTTGCATTTAAAGAGATACAAAATTTGTACATTTCTCTTTCGATTTCAATTTAATGCATGAAGTAATTTATGATCAAAGAGGTACTAAATGCTGAAATGTCACAGATGGATTCTGGGAACACTCTAGACTTATTTTACATTGTGTAAAAGAGCATCACAGGATCTGTATAAGATTACTGTTGTTCTCACCTCATCGCAGGATCCGGCTGGTGAATGCCGATATTGTCATAGTGACATTCGTTCTCTTCTGCTCTCTTCTTCGGTTTCTTTTTGTGAATCTGGACAGTTGCGTACTGCATCTCCTCTGTATTTTCATCTCTTTCGGTTTTGCTGGATGAAACACTAGCATACATGGCATCAGCACAATCGGCGGATTGAGAAGCACGAACGCCACTCTCTGTTATGCTAGAATACAGATCATCCTGAAATGAAAGAAAACCAACTGCTTCACACATGAAACTGAACTAAAAGCACAATGAGATATTTCCCAAGAGCAGCTGTAAAGTCAGATGTGTGTGGATGATTGACCTGTTTCGCATTGACGTCTTCAGCTTTTGGAGCTTTTCGGTTTCTCCTGCTTTGGTAGACAAACATTGTAAGCTGAGTTTTTTTCACAGTCACAGTATAATTTAATGTACAACTCACACCAATAACAAACCATTGACTAAGACTATTAGCTTAATAAACTACTAATTAGCTGCTTATTAATCAACACAGACTCATTCTGAAAACATAGTCCCGTGGATGCTTCTGGAGACCGCAGATTATGACGCCAGAGGTACGTATGGCTTCATTATTATTTCAGCATTTTTTTTTAATAAACGAACGATATGGGGTGGTATGACGCCGTTCCTTTTCAAGCTAACAATTTGACCGCTTACCTCCGTGTGGAGGGCTTTTCCGCCGCAATCAGTTTGTCCTGTTAGTTCGTCATGTATGTCAGCGAACTTGAGACACAGAGACCACGAAGATGAGGTTCGAGTCCAGGGTAGAGCGGTTTCAGAAAGCAGGTAAGACAAAAACAGAATCCAAAAAATAAAATGATCAAGTGAACAACTGGAATCTGGTAAAATCCGAAAACGTAGTTAAATCAGACGAGGGCTTTTCTTTTTCTAGACGTCTTTTGTAAACCGTTTGGTTGGGTTTAGGGGAAGCAAGTAGGTGGGTGGGTCAATAGATAAAATTGGTTGGGTTTAGGGAAGGAGTCAATTGGATTGGTCAGCCGGCCAGTCAGTCAGACAGACAGTCGTTCGACAGCGGCCTCTGGTGAATTTACGCGGGAACAGCAGTTACGAACGGCACTGGCAAAATAAATCTGAGACATGAAATAATGGTTTCGCATATATGCAAAAACAAAAATGGCAAAAATACAGACCTCTCGGGATGTATTTCACGGTCTCCAGAAACGTCCACAGGATGAGCTGTTTCAGAATGAGCCTGGGTTGTTTTTAATAGTTAGTAAGGTAGTAATTGGGTTTAGATATTGCGTAGGATTAGGGGTGAAGAGGATCATGGTTTATAAGTACTAAAACTTGATTAACTTATCAATATTAGGCAGGTTATAAGCCAGTAGTTAATAGTAATATTTGTGAGAATGTTTTTATAATATTCACATATACATGAGAAAATTAACTTCTACTGTAATTGAGAATGACTTTTAAGTAAACTTACATTATGAACACAATGATAAGGATGATGAGTAATAATCCTATAAACGCCACTGTGATCCCCAACCAGACATGCCAACTGTGACGTACTGAAAAATGAAGAATATGAGATTAATGCTCAAAGCAGGACTGCTGACTTGGAGTCTTTATGAAGTGAAAGCTTTACCAGTGACAGTGACGGCGTCTGATCTCTGAGCTCCATGTGGATTGTGAGCCTCACAGTAGAAGCGTCCACTCTGTACTGCACTGAAACTCTGTCCAGATCCAACAGCTGAGCTTTGATTCTCCTTAAACCAGCTGAAGTTCAGAGCAGGAGGGTTTGAGTCACTGATGCACATCAGACCCACTGAATCTCCAGACACTATTACAGCAGATCCATTTATAGACACTGAGACGTTCCTGGGAGGATCTTTAAAAAAAAAGAGAAAGAAGATATTAACAATCAACAATAGATGTACATCAAATAATATGTTTATGACAGTTAATGTCACAGTTACTAAGCCATCATAAACTCACACTGCACATTTATAGTTACACCATCAGAGTATTTCACTCCATGTTCATTTGTGGCTCTACACTTGTATTCTCCACTGTCATCAGAGCTGATCTTGGAGATGTTGAAGATTCTTCCAGATCCTACAAATGTTGTTCCTTTAAACCAGCTGATTTCTGCAGGAGGGTTTGAGTCACTGCTGCAGCTCAGACTCACTGAATCGTTTTCCTTTATTACAGCAGATCCACTCATGGAGATCACAGGAGTATCTGGAGCATCTGGAGGAGAAACATGTAAAAAAGTTTCAAAATTGTCCATTTATTTAATTTATTCTCTCAACATTCGAATGTAAACATTGGATATATGTATACTGTGTTCAGCTTCACTATCCTCAAAACTTGCAGAATAATTTACACATCATCTACTTCAGGAACATCTTCACCCCTCACGTAGCCCACCCCAGTGTGTGTTTATTTATTTTTCAGTTATTAGTTTGCTACTGTACATATACTGTAGATGTGGGTTTAGAATTTCACAAAAACAGCGTAAATGCATGGACCCATCCAGCCTTGAGTTTATAAATCAGAATACTGCTGCATCAAATGTTAAAATCATGAAATAAGTTTAGATGTTTAAATGTAGGGTTATTGTATGGGGACCATTTTTGAATACGGAATAATGTAAGGGATTTGAAAGCAGAAATATAAAGCTTACATTTTCCAAGGGAATTCCCAAGATTTTTGTCCTGTTTACAAAGTCGCCAATAATTGAAACTCTAATATACTTAACATAATTAAGTTTTGGTGTTAATTTATTTACAGTTTTTTACAATTGCTATGGCACTTTTATCAATACATTTAACAAGTTTCCTAAACTCTTAACACAGTTAGCACAACATCCGTCTTCGTGGGCTATACAATTAACACATTTCTTGTTGTTTTGACACAAAATGCATCCAGTTAACACAAATTTAAAATGCTTGAACTTCTTTTACACACAAGCACAACCAAGAACAAAACAATGTAATTTTACAGTCAAATTTACAAATGCTTTAACACAGTATGTCAGAACAGATAACACCATGTTCTAAACAGAAATTATATAGGATAAAGTCAAAGTGAACAGCTGTTCTAATTGTGAATTGAAACACAAATTTATTCCCTGTATTTTATTCAATTGCCAATGAGAAACATCATATTGCGGTTATATAAATAAATAAATAAATAAATGTATATATATATGTATATATATATATATATATATATATATTTCTTTATTTATTTATATAACCGCAATATGCTATTTCTCATTGGCAACTGACAAAAAAAAACATATTATATATATATATAT